AACATATGTTTTATACTGTTACTCAATAATCAGTGACAATAAACAATTTAAATTAAGTTATATATTAAAAACTAACAATAACACATCAGAAAGATATGTAAAATCAAATATTGTGTTACAAAAACTGCGCTTTACGCAATGACGTGTCTCAAGCTTAACGTGGAGTGAGACACGAGTCTTGAGCCACAACACACCATGACGGATGTTGCGGCGAGCCTTTTCGAACATTAGTTTTATCTTAATGCTTGTATATACACATATTAGAATATCTATCTATCTACACACACACACACACACACATATATATATATATATATATGAGGTTTACTTTGCAAACCACGTTATTTGTACAAACTGTACAAACTTCATTCAACCAATCAAAAAATTTCATTTTGTTCATTTTTTTGTAATTATGAGAGGTTAATTAATCATTTTTATTGTGGAGGGTGTTAATCATGGATTTTATCATCTTCATTATATTTATTTTAAAGAAATACATGAAACAGTTTCATTAAAGTTTCATAAGTATTATATGAAACAATTTCATAACCATATATGAAACAACTTCATAAAAAAAATATTATATGAAACAATTTCATGGAAAACTTTCATAAGATTAAACAATGAAATCGACGGATGATGGTGGTTTGCACGGTTGGTACAAATATGGGTGGTTTGCATTTGATATCGCTCTCTCTCTCTCTCTCTCTCTCTCTCTCTMTATATATATATATATATATATATATATAGGGGCCCATTCAAGGGAGAACTGACTAGTTTGTAATAACCGTGAGATCCAATCTCAACCACAATCAATAGATAAATTAGGAAATTTTTAATTTTGGTAATTTTTAATTAAAATTTTAATGTAAGGATATTTTATATGTATTTTCTCTCCTCTCTTCTCTCTCTGTCCCTGTCTTCCGGCCACCGTCCTCCGGTGATACCACAGTGTGATACTCAAGCACATATAATATGCATTGTGATACCACTGTGTTACACATCCGATCGACCGCACAAACGACCACAGTGTGATACCCAATCACATATAAGATGCATTGTGATACCACTGTGGTATCACCGGTGGACAGGAGACGGAGAGAGGAGATAGGAGAGAAAATACCTAAAATGCTCTTGCATTAAAATTTTAATTAAAATTTACGAAAATTACAAATTTCCTAATTTATCTATTGATTTGTAGTTGAGATTGGACCTTACGATTACCACAAACTAATTAGTTCTCATTTGATTAGGCCTATATATATATTTATTTATTTATTTATTTATTTATATATAGAGACTCATTCAAGGGAGAACTGACTAGTTTGTAGTAACCGTGAGATCAAATCTCAACCACAAATCAATAGATAAATTAGAAAATTTATAAATTTGGTAATTTTGAATTAAAATTTTAATGTGAGAACATTTTAGGTATTTTCTCTTCTCTCTGCTCTCTTCTCTCTCCATCCCCGTCCTCTAGCCACCGTCATTCTGTGATATCTAAAAATATTGACTATGTTAAACAAAAGACACAGTGTGATGCCCAAACACATATAAGATGCATTGTGATACCACTGTGTTATCACCGGAGGACGGTGATAGAGAGAGAAGAGAGGAGAGAGGAGAGTTTTAAAATATCTAAAATGTCCTTGCATTAAAGTTTTAATTCAAAATTACCAAACTTATAATTTTTCTAATTTATCTATTGATTTATGATTGAGATTGAATCTCATGATTACCACAAATTAATTAGTTCACAATTGATTATATATATATATATATATATATATATATATATATATATATATATACTATCTTATAAAACATTTGGCTAAAACTCTTAAAAACTCTTAAACCCGTTCATCCCTAAACGATTTCATCCCTATCCGATTTCATCCCATATATGAATTCGTGTAACTAACTGCAGATAAACACAATCAAATACAGGATGAACATCTCATTTTAAATATAAAAAATCTAAAATATAATTAGTATAATCATTAAAATCTAACAGAATACTTAATTATTATCTTTATAAAATTTATAATATTAAACCAAAAATAAATTGTTTTATTATTAAACTTAAATTAAATTATATGTAAAAAAAATATTCTATATTATAAATCATTTGACAAAAACTCTTAAAAACCACTTTTTATGCGTAAAGTACTGTTTATTAATGCATATTAC